TCTCAAATAAATAAATAAAATCTTTAAAAAAAAAAAGAAAAGAAAACATTTTTGGTTTATCTTTACCTTTGCTACTATAGAAGTTTTATTTCTCCCAGAATAGAAAAAAGGTAAATGTTGGATATTCATTTTATTTCAGATCAAGCATCAAAGTCTCCGACTAAGAAACTATCCTTAAGGAAAGAAATTAGTAATGTAAAAACATTTCAGTTGAAATTAATAGGAAGAATTAGAATGCCAAGCTCAAGTATCAGAGATGTTTGGGAATGTAAAGATAAGTTTAAGAGACAAGAGTCACAACAGGAGGTGCACTGCAGCCAAGTAATAGTCACACATGAAGATGTGCCTACTTTCAATCAGCAAGTGTCTCTTACACTACACACACACACACACACACACACAGATGAAAATGAAGAGAAATCATATGAATGTAAAGAATGTGGGAAGACTTTTAGTCATGGCTCACAACTTACTCAACACCAGAGAACTCATACTGGTGAGAAACCCTCTGAATGTAGAGATTGTGGGAAGGCCTTTAGTTGTAGTTCAGCATTTACTAAACACCAGAAAATACACACTGGTGAGAAGTCTCATAAATGTAAGGAATGTGGGAAATCTTTTAGTTTTGGCTCTGACCTTTTAGGATATCAAAGAATTCATACTGGTGAGAAACCTTATGAATGTAGACAATGTGGGAAGGCTTTTAGTTGGATCTCATACTTTTCTCAACATCAAAGAATTCATACTGGTGAGAAACCTTATGAATGTAAGGAATGTGGGAAGGCTTTTAGAACTAGTTCATACCTTTCCCAACATCAGAAAATTCATATTGGTAAGAAACCATATGAATGTAAGGACTGTGAAAAGCCATTTTGTTGGTGCTCCTTTCTTACCAAACATCAGAGAATTCATACTGGTGAGAAACTCTATGAATGTAAGGAATGTGGGAAGGCTTTTAAATAACTCAAAACTTGTTCTGCATCAGAGAATTCATACTGGTGAAAAACCCTATGAATATAAAGAGTGTGGAAAGGCCTTTACTAGGAGCCCAAGCCTTATTCAACAAAAGAGAATTCATACTGGTGAGAAACCCTATGAATGTAAGGATTGTGGAAAGACCTTTAGTTGTAGCTCACATCTTTCTCAACATCAGAGATTTCACACTGGTAAGAAGCCCTCTGAATGTAAAGAATGTGGGAAGGCCTTTAATTATCGCTCAAACGTCACTGAACATAAGAAAATGCATACAGGTAAGAAACCCTATAGATGCAAGAATTGTGGCAAGGCCTTCACTGGGAGTTCAAGCTTTATTCAACATCAGAGAATTCATAATGCTAATTAACCCAATAAATGGAAGAACTATGTAGAAAATGTTTTCTTGGATCAGAGTTTACACAACTAAAGAAAACTCAAACAGTGGAAACATCCTAAGAACAAAATAAATGTTGTAAAACACAAATAGCTCCAACTTATTTGGCATTAGGAAAATCCAAATTTTAAACTTGTATTATAAATATTAAAAAGTTCATATTTGAGGGTAACCCTGGAAATTTATCTCTTTAAAGTAGTATCTATAATTTTAATTTATAGTCAACATTTGAAACCATTTTAAATTTTACTCTAAAAATATGAGTTCCTAAATTAATCATGTCCCCTCAAATTCTTAGCACCACGTAATTACTGTTTATCTTACATGTTTATATTGCCTCCTGTTGATATGTACATGACCTCTTCTTCATAAGGCTATTACATTCAGGAGCAAGAGATATAACTGGTTTTTCTAAGACAGAGAAGGCAGACATTTAGAAAAAATGAGAAGACGGGAATTTATCCCAAATGAAAGAACAAAATAAGGCCATGGCCAGAGATCTAAATGAAACAGATATAAGTAACATGGAAGGAGTAGTTAAAGCAATGATCATAAGGATACTCACTGGACTTGAGAAAAGAATGGAAGACATCAGTGAGATCCATACCACAGAGATTAAAGAGTTAAAAAAGAATCAATCAGAGATGAAGAGAGCAATATGGGGTGCCTGGGTGGCTCAGTCGGTTAAGCGTCTGCCTTCAGCTCAGGTCATGATCCTAGGTCCTGGGATCAAGTCCCACATTGGGCTCCTTGCTCAGTGGGGAGCCAGCTTCTCCCTCTGCTCGCTGCCTCTGCTGCTTGTGTGCTCTTGCTCTCTCTCTGACAAATAAATAAATAAAATATTTTTTTAAAAAAAGTGAAAAGACAACCCAAAAACTGGGATAAAATCTTTGCAAATTATATGTCCAATAAGGGACTTGTATCTAGACTACATAAAGAACTCTTATAACTCAGGCACATGGGTGGCTCAGTCATTAAGCGTCTGCTTTCGGCTCAGGTCATGATCCCGGGGTCCTGAGATCGAGCCCCACATAGGGCTCCCTGCTCGGTGGGAAGCCTGCTTCTCCCTCTCCCACTCCCCCCTGCTTCCCTCTCTCGCTGTGTCTCTCTCTGTCAAATAAATAAATAAAATCTCCAAAAAGAAAAAAAAAGTGCAATAACTGAGATTAGAAACATGATTAATGCAAAGAACAGCAGGCTGTAAGAAGCAGGGGAAAGAATTAAAGACCCAGAATACAAAGTACTGGAAAGCAATGAAGCTGAACAAAAGAAAGAATTATGCAACATGAGAATATACTTAGGGAACTCAGTGACTCCATCAAATGTAGTAACATTCATATCACAGGAGTCCCAGAAGAAGAATAGAGAAAAGGGGGCAGAAAATTATTTGAGTAAAAAATAGCTGTAAACTTCCCTAATCTGGGGAAGAAAAGAGACATCCAGATCCAGGAGGCACAAAGAACTCCCATCAAAATCAACAAAAGCAGGCCAACACCAAGATATATTGTAATTAAATTTGCAAAATATACTGATAAAGAAAAAATCTTAAAAGCAGCAAGACAAAAGAAGTCCTTAACTTACAAGAGAAAACCCATGAGGCTAGCTGGAGATTTGTCAACAGAAACTTGCAGGCCAGAGGGAGTGGCACAATATATACAAAGTGCTGAATGGGAAAAATCTGCACCCAAGAATGCTCTATACAGCAAGGCTATCATTCAGAATAGGAGGAGAGATGAAGAGTTTCCCAGACGGACAAAAACTGAAGGAGTTCGTGACCACTAACCCAGCACTGCAAGAGATATTAAAGGGGACTCCGAGTGGAAAGGAGAGACCTAAAAGTGACAGTATAAATGTAAGAAATACAAAAGCAGTAAAAATCAATATTTCTGCAAAAAATCAGTCAAGGAACTCACAGAGGATATAAAATATAATAATATATACCTAAAAATAAATAAATAAAATAATATATACCTAAAATGTGGGGGACAGAGGAGTAAAGAATGGGATCAAACTTGACCGTCAACTTAATATAGACTCCTACATGCAGAAGAGATTATATACAAACCTGATGGTAACCATATATCAAAACTGTAATGAACATGCAAAGAATAAAGAGAAAGAAATCCAAATATATCATTAAAGAAAAGCAGCAAAACATGAAACAGAGAAAGACTAGAAAGGAACAGAGAAAATCTCCAGAAACAATTGACTTAACAGATGATACAATGGCACTAAATTCATATCTATCAATAACCACTCTAAATGTAAATGGACTAAATGCTCCAATCAAAGGACAGAGGGTGTCAGAATGGATAAAAAACCAAGACCCATCCATATGCTGCCTAGAAGAGACTAATTTTATTTTTTTATTTTATTTTTTTAAAGATTTTATTTATTTATTTGACAGAGAGAGACTCAGCGAGAGAGGGAACATAAGCAGGGGGAGTGGGGGAGGGAGAAGCAGACTTCCCGCCAAGCAGGGAGCCCGATGTGAGACTTGATCCCAGGATCCTTGGATCATGACCTGAGCCGAAGGCAGATGCTTAACGACTGAGCCACCCAGGCGCCCCAGAAGAGACTCATTTTAGACCTAAAGACACCTGCATATTGAAAGTGAGGGGATGGAGAAATAATGTATCATGCAAATGGACATCAAAAGAAAACCAGAGTAGCAATACTTATATCAGACAAACTAGATTTTAAATCCAAGACTGTAACAAAAAACAAAGAAGGGCACTACATAATAATAAAGGGGACAATCCAATAAAAAGATATAACAATTGTAAATGGGAACATCAAAAAACAGAACAATAACAAACATAAAGAAACTAATTGATAATAATACAATAATAGTAGAGGACTTTAACACTTCACATACATCAGTCAACTAAACAGAAAATAAACAAAGAAACAATGACTTTGAATGAAACACTGGGCCAGTTGGATTTAACAGATATATTCAGAAAATTCCATCAAAAAAAAGAATACACATTCTTTTCAAGTGCACATGGGACATTCTCCAGAATAAATCACATATTAATGCACAAAACAAGTCTCAACAATTCCACAAAGTTTGAAGACATGCCATACATATTTATTGACTACAATACTATGAAACTAGAAATCAACCACAAGAAAAAATCTGGAAAGAGCACAAATACATGAAGGTTAAATAACATGCTACTAAATAATGAATGGGTCAACCAGGAAACCAAAAAAGAAATTTAAAAAAATATACATGGAAACAAATGAAAATGAAGTGGTCCAAAATCTTTGGGATGCAGCAAAAGCAGTCCTAAGAGGGAAGTATATAGCAATACAGGCCTACCTTAAGAAGCAAGAAAAATCTCAAATAAACAAACTACCCTTGCAGCTAAAGAAGCTAGAAAAAGAATAACAAGCAAAGCCTAAGGCCAGCAGAAGGAAGGATATACTAAAGATTAGAGCAGAGTAAATGATAGAGAAACAAACAAACAACCAAACAAAACCCACCCCCAAACCCCCAGAACAGAATAGATTAATGAAACCAGGAGCTAGTTCTTTGAAAAAACTAATAAAATTGACAAACCTCTAGCCAGACTTACCAAAAAGAAAAGAAAAAGGACCCAAATAAAATCACAAATGAGAGAGGAGAAATAACAATGAACACCACAGAAATACAAACAACTATAAGAGAACATTATGAAAAATTGCATGCCAACAAACTGGACAATCTAGAGAAAATGGGATAAATTCCAAGAAACATACAAACTACCAAAACTGAAACAGGAAGAAACAGAAAACTTGGACAGACTGATAGCCAGTGAAGAAATTGATTCAGTAATTTAAAAAACTCACAACAAACAAAAGTCCAGGACCAGATGGCTTCAAGGTGAATTCTACTAAACATTTAATGAAAAGTTAATTCCTATTCTCAAACTATTAAAAAAAATAGAAAAGGAAGAAAAACTTCCAAATTTGTTCTATGAGGCCACCATTGCCCTGATACCAAAACCAGATAAAGAAAATCTAATTTGTCTGATATGAGGATTGCTACCGCAGCTTTCTTTTGAGGTCCATTAGTGTGGTAAATGGTTCTCCACCCCCTCACTTTCATTCTAGAGGTGTTTTCAGGTCTAAAATGAGTCTCCTGTAGACAGCATATGGATGGCTCTTGCTTTTTTATCCAATCTGATATCCTGTGTCTTTTGGTTGGAGCACTCAGCCCATTTATGTTCAGAGTAACTATTGAAAGATATGAATTTAGTGCCATTGTATTGCCTGTAAAGTCCCTCTTTCTGTACATTGTCTCTGTTATCTTCTGGTCTATGTTACTCTTGGGATCTCTCTTTGCTTACAGTATCCCCCTTAATATTTCTTGCAGGGCTGGCTTGGTGGTCACATATTCTATCATTTTCTGTCTATCCTGGAAGTTCTTTATCTCTCCTGTTTTGAATGACAGCCTTGCTGGATAAAGTATTCTTGGCTGCGTGTTCTTCTCATTTAGTACCCTGAATATATCTTGCCAGCCCTTTCTGGCCTGCCAGGTCTCTGTGGACAGGTCTGATGTTATTCTTTTTTTTTTTAAGATTTTATTTATTTATTTATTTATTTATTTATTTATTTATTTATTGGCCAGAGAGAGAGCACAAGCAGGGAGAGCAGCAGGCAGAGGGAGAAGCAGGCTCCCGCTGAGCAGGGAGCCCGATGAGGGACTCAATCCCAGGACCCCAGGATCATGGCCTGAGCTGAAGGCAGACGCTTAACCAACTGAGCCACCCAGGCATCCCGAGGTCTGATGTTATTCTGATGTTCCTCCCTCCATACATAAGAAACCTCCTCTCCCTAGCTGCTCTCAGGATAGCTTCTTTGGCTCTAAGATTTGCAAGCTTCACTATTATACATCGGGTGTTGATCTATTTTTTATCGATTTTGGGAGGGGTCCTCTCTGCCTTTTGGACATGGATGTTTTCTTCCCCAGATTAAGGAAGTTC